TGTCTGTCTGTCTGTCTGTCTGTCTGTCTCTATCTATCTATCTATCTATCTATCTATCTATCTATCTATCTGTCATCTACCTATCATTTATCTATCATCTAACTCAACTATCTATCAATCATCTCTCTCTCTCTCTCTCTCTCTCTCTCTCTCTCTCTCATCTAGCTATCTCATCTAGCTATCTCTATCCTGTCTGTCTGTCTGTCTGTCTGTCTGTCTATCATCTATCTATCCCATCTATCTATCTCTATCCTATCCTATCCTATCCTATCCTATCCTGTCTGTCTGTCTATCTATCATCTATCTATTATCTATCCCTCCCTCCCTCTTTCTCTCCATACTGCTTCAACACTCAGCTTTGCATAAAATGAAGTAGACATATGGACAGCTGTTAGACACAATCTTTCTAATTTAAATAGAAATGCAATGGATGTTACTATTTATGTGAAAGATTGTACACTAAGACCTGTACCTGGCACCTGTATGACTCAAAAAGCTCCCTGCTGAAGAGAACCTTGAAGACCTAAATTTGAAGGCTTAAAATTAATGTTAATTTGCGTTTAAACTGGACTTGACAAGGCAGCCCTTCCTGAAATCAAACTAGCCTGTCATGTTTTCAAACATTGGGCTGTCCTCCATAAATAAACCATGTCATATTCCAAATTAGGGTATTTCATTTTTCAATCTCCCCTCAGATTATAATTCCCTCCCCCCTCCATTGGTAGCTCCTAGCATTTCAGTTCTACGGTAACTCAGCCTTTAACTGTCTTCCTGTCCAACAGAATAACTATTAAAATGTGGCTTACTTTCTGCTTAGGGGACAGAAAGGCTCGGTGGTTAAAGATGCTGGGTTTGAGACCCAAGCTTGATGTGATGGGGTGAGGTCCTGTCCCTCGCTGCAGTGCCTGCCCACCTAGAAGTTTGAAAGCATGCAAATGCAAGTAGATTAATAGGTATTACTTTGGTGAGAAGATAACAGCGTTCTATGCTCCTCAGTGCATAGTCATGCTGGTCACATGACCATGGAAACTGTTTGGACAACTCTGGGTCCATCAGCTAAGAAACGGAGACAAACAACACCCTCTAGAGTCAGACATAACGGGATAGGGAAAACCTTTACCTAGTTTTTGCTTGATTGCTTCTAGATTCTGACATGATGACCCGCATTGGATCTACCATGTGTAATGCTACTCTTGTTCCACCACAGTCAAAGTCTCTTCTATCAGGTAGGTATGGGCCAGGCATCTAAGTTTGTAGAAGTAAACTTTTCACAATAAAAGAACTGCTCTCCTCAATCTGTTCTTCTCTAAATCTGTTCAGATTACAAAGTTTATCCTACCCAAGGGCAGTCTGAACCTGTGATTTGGGGATTTGTAGATGCAATTCATGTAGAGGATGCCAGGTAGAAGAATACCAATGATGCACATTGGTTGTGTTTTGCTTGGTTTTTCTTCTCGGTTCCTCTGGTGCATTTTAACATTTTCTTTTTAAAGAAAATGTTAAAATTTAACTTTCAAACATTGGGCTGTACTCCATAACGGAACCATGTCATATTCCAAGTTCATAATAAATCATAAATCTACAGTAAAATGTTTATGATGACTATGATCATGATTTATCACTTATATCTTTTATGTACATGAGAGCTTATGCACCAAAGACAAATTCCTTGTGTGTCCAAGCACACTTGGCCAATAAAGAATTCTATTCTATTGTAAAATCTGTTCTTTCCCCTATAAACCTGAGAGAATGCTAAGACACAATTTTTAATTCTAGCTGGTTACATAAAGACAACTCTTTGGTTGATGCACCACATTAAACTATCACAGTTGGGCTCACAAAGTTTTGTGTTAATGGAACTGTTGTGTCTTTCTGAGAAAGTTTCTGATTTATTGTATTTTATTTATTGGAGCAGAAATATGGAGGGGCTAATAATTAGAATAGGGTGGGGTTGTTTTCACTACGATGAATTAAAACCTCATGTGTGTTCTCATCACTTTGTGTTCATTAGCTTCCACCAAGAAACTCTTTTCTATAGTGGAAAACAACCAAATATTGACTGAACCGAATCGTTCTCTGCCATCCCAAAAATACTGGCTTTTCAAGCAAAGCTTCTCAGCGGAAGAGGCTGTTCTCTGGTGTCTCACACGTAAGAAACTTTAAATTATGGAGAAATGGTCATACTACTAATTAATCAAGGTCCTAGACATGCTCGAATCTTTCTAGAATGTTTACCATGTTCTCTAAGCATACCAACAGAGAATAAAAACCCAAAAGCTAATTTTAAAAAAGTTGACCCTTAAAGTTGATGTGAAAACTAAACTATAAAACTGATAGCTGGCTGAGGATTTGAGAATAAATATTTTGATATTGACTTAATGAATTGAAATATGAAAGGGAAATTTATCTAAAGATTAGTCGAATGGATAACAATTTGAAGTGATATTAATTAAGAAAGTTGAAAGTGTAACTATGACTATGTATAAATATTGTAATCTGGAATCATGTTGCTCACGTGAAGAGATGTGTAAAAAATAAAAAAAACTTTGGGAGAATAAATGTCATTCCCTATTTCTAGCAAAGCACATCTATTTTCATTAAGCTATCTCAGTCGCTTATCAAGAAATCTCACTGTTTAGTTTAGTTTTATTGTCATTGCACCCCGTACAATGAAATTAAATGCCATCTTCAGTGTACATTATAACTATAAAAATAAAACATAAACACACATCCTTCACATTCTATACAATTGAATTGAAAACCCAATATTGCATTAATATTGCGCTATACAGTAGAATTCAATAGAGTTACTGACTTATTAAGAAATGAAATCTTGAAATGCTACCTTTGCTAAGGGAGGAAAGCAGTGAAATGTAGCTTTGTGTGAAAAGGATAGGTTGATTCCTGTATTATGATAACATTTATTTATTTATTTGATTTATTTGATTTGTCAATCGCTTACAAGATAATAGGTATAAGTATAAACATGAGTAAGAATACAGGAAATAGGTACGAATAAATGGGGACAATAGGACAGGGATGGTAGGCACAATGGTGCACTTATGCAGGCCCCTTACAGACCTCTTAGGAATGGGGTGAGGTCAATAGTGGATAGTTTGAGGTTAAAGGAGTGGGGGCTTGAGGATGTAACAACAGAGTCAGATAGTGCATTCCAGGCATTGACTACTCTGTTGTTGAAGTTGTACTTTCTGCAATCAAGTTTGGAGCAGTTAACATTGAGTTTGTATCTGTTGTGTGCTCATGTATTGTTGTGGTTGAAGCTGACTGGTAACATGGGGAATTCCTTGACTGAGAACAGTGTCCGCCTTCTTATCTTGATGTTTCCCAGATATTTTATTGTGTCGTTCCCATCAACTCCGACCACAAACAAACATTCCAAATTTTCTGGGGAACCTTCTGAAAAGGTTGAGTAACATCTGCTTCCTTCAACGTGCTTTTGAGTCATGCAAAGCTGGAGGAGGAAACTTCCATTGATTAATGCCCGGAAAAAGAATATCTGTTTTAGGACACAAAGTAATTTCTTGTGAGACTTTTTCAGGAGGCTATGGAAATAAAGGAAGTTGCGTAGAAGATTGGCATGAACCTCTATGCAGATACTCCTCGACTTATGACCACAATTAGCACTGAAACTTCCATTGCGAAGTGATGCGGTCATTCAATGAGTCACACTCAATCCGAATGATCCTTTTGGCCATGATAACTAAGGAAACCATTGCAGTTGTTAGGTGTTTCATGTGGCCATTAAGTGAATCTAGTTTCCCCCATTGATTTTGCTTGTTGAAAGCTGGCTGGGGAAGTTGCAAACAATTGTAAATACATGCCAGTTCCCAAGAGCCCAAATTCTGATTATGTGACCCTGGGAATGTTGCCATAATTGTAAGCGCAAGGACTGGTTGTAATTCACTTTTTTCAGTGTTGTTATAATTGGAACAATTGCTAAATGAATGATTGTAAGTTGAGAACTACCTGTAAAAGCTTTCATCAACCTGGAGTTTTTTTAAAGTGTGTTGGGCTTATTATAAAATCCCAGAATATTTAGCTAATGTGGCAAAAAATATCTGGATGTGGCAATCTTTTAGAAGGCTATTCTTCTACCATATTAGAATATAGGAACTCATCATCCAGGCTTTGGAAGAACAATATTAGGGACTTCTTAATCCAAGGGTGTCAAACTCAAGGCCTGCGGGCTGGATCCAGTCCATGGTGTGCTTAGATCTGGCCTGTGGGGCTGGCCTGGAAATATCAGGACCGGCCTGTGATGCCTCTTCTGGCCAAAATTAGGTGCGGGCTTTTTTAGCTGGCAGAGTGCTGCAGGAGTCTGTGAAGGCTGAAAGTGGGCCACGAGGGGCCATGTGAGGCCCCACACACCCCGTTTTGGCCGGAAAGTGCTGCAGGAGGCTGCCCAGGCCAAAAATGGGGTACGGGGGAGCTGCCCAATGGCTCCTCGTGGCCCATTTTGACCAGCAGGGTGCTGCAGGAGGCGTCCATCTATCTCCCTCCACCTCCCTCCCCCAATCGTCCCACAGAGGAGAACTACAATAATAATCCAGCCCTTGAAAAATTCCAGGTTGACACCCAGGGGTGGGCTACTAGGGGTTTGCAGGGGTTCAGGAGAGCCCCTAGCTATGATTCTGTGCAGTTTGGAGAACCCCCAAATCCCACTCCTGGCTGGCCCTGCCCACCCCACCCTGCTCCTTCCAGGAGTCCCCACATGGCCCGTTTTGGATGCAGGGCGCGTGGGGATGCTTGGGGAGGGTGAAAAATGCGCCTCCTGGAAGTTTGGGAAGGCCGGAAATGGGCTCGTTTCTGGCTTCCAGAGAGCCTCTGGAGCCCGGAAGCCTGTTTTCGCCCTTCCGGAGGCTCGAGGAAAGCCTCCGGGGCCCAGGGAAGGCAAAATCCCCCCTCCCCCATGGTGCAGGAGGCTGACTAGGCCACGCCCACATGGCCAACACCCAGCAAACGAGTAGAGAATCCTTTGCTAAATTTTTTAAACCCAACCCTGTTGACACCCCTGGCCTAATCAGTCAGCAAGAGCTTGCAGGATAAGAGCAGGCAGAACCTGGGGGTGGAGTTAAGAAAGTAATCAGCCTAGAGCAGGGGTGTCCAACCTTTCACCTTCCCTGGGCCACATTAGAAGATGAAAATTTGGTTTGGGCCGCACATATAATAAATTAGTATAAAATAATTATATTATAAAATTATATAATAAATTATAAATTATTTTTATTATTAATTATTAATTATTAATTAAAAATTATTTATTTTTTATTAATTTTCCGGCCAAATTTTGCGGGGTGGGGGGGGAGGGGGGGGAAGAAAGCTCACCCGCCTCACGCCTACCTCTCCTCCTGCAAATGGCCCGGCTGGATGCAGCAGGACTGGAAGGTGAGGACCGCGAGGCTCGGTGCAGCAGCAGCAGCGGCGGCGGCGGCAGCGGCGGCGGGGGCAGAAGCGGCGGTGGCGGGGGCAGAAGCAGCAGCGGCAGCGGCGGCGGCGGTGGGGGCAGAAGCAGCAAAGGCGGCGCCCACCTTTTCTGTTGCTGCTTGGCGTGGCGCTCGCCTCGCCCCGCCTCGCGCCTGCCTCTCCTCCTCCTCCTCGCTGGCTCTTGCCAGAAGGTTGGGGTGGGCACTGGGCCGCATTACGAGGCGACCTGGGCCGCATGCGGCCTGCGGCCCGCGGGTTGGACAAGCCTGGCCGAGAGTCATTACATTCTCACAAATGTTCAACTCCACTTAAATTCCGCTGACTCTTATCTAGTGTCAATTTAGTGTTAACAGTTAGGAGACTAGACTCTTGGGAAGTAGCATGAACAATAAATCATTTTAACTGGAACTCTGTGTGTGTGTATATGTGTGTGTGTGTGTGTGTAAATAAGCATTTTTCTTCCATTTTTTCCAATCCAACAAACTATGACAGTAGTAAAGAATCAGGACCACACATAAGAGTTTATAAATATAATTTATCTATACAACTTAAATAGGCCATTTGAAAATAGCTGTGTTGTAATTATTTATTTTAACAAGGCAGGAACCACAGCTAGTCCTCAACTGACAACAGATCACTTAGTGCCTGTTTGAAGTTACAGCGGCACTGAAAAAAGTGAGTTATGACCATTTTTCAGACTTAAAAATGGTCATTGCGGCATCCTCATGGTCACCTGATTTACATTCGGATGCTTGACAACCGACTCACATTTGTGACAGTTGCAGTGTCCCAAGGTCATGGGATCACATTTTTGCAACTGGTGGGGAAACCAGATTCACTTAACAACCGGGTTACTAATTTAACAACTGCAGTGATTCACTTAACAAACATGGCAAGAAAAGTCGTACGATGGGGCAAATTTTTCACTTAGCAACATAAATGTTAGGCTCAATTGTGATCGTAAGTTGAGGTCTACCTCTTATAAAAATGGTAACCATGAATTGTTTCTCCTCTGTTCCAGGTTGCGTAGAAGATGAGTTTTGTCTACTGGCCGATATCCCGAGTAACACAGACACAGCATTCTTTCCTTGCACCCTCTATCCAGCAGCCCAAATCTGTAACACTTCCATTAACAATGTCCCCAACAACTGCAAGATTGTGTTACCTCAAAAGCCCCAACTTTTATATCAGAAGACAGGTGAGCTAATGGGCCTGCTAATCAGTGATGGTATTCACATTTTTTTTTACTACTGGTTCTGTGAGCGTGGCTTGGTGGGTGTGGTGTGGCTTGGTGGGCATGGTAGGGGAAGGATACTGTAAAATTTCCATTCCATTCCACTCCAGGGGACGGGTACTGTAATTCTCACCCCACCCCACTAACCTGCTTTCCAGCTCCGTTCTCCTGTGCAGAACAACAAAAGAAGACCCAGCCGATCAGCTGGGACTCGGGAGGCAGAGAAGAGATGGGGCCAGGGCCAGTCAGAGGTGGTATTTGCTGGTGAACAGATAACAGATAATCAGAGTTGGAAGGGACCTTGTAGGTCATCTAATCCAACCCCCTGCCCAAGCGGGAGACCCTAGACCATTTCTGACAAATGGCAGTCCAATTTCTTCTTGAAAGTCTCAAGTGATGGCACTCCCACAACTTCCGAGGGAAAGCTGTTCCATTGGTTGATTGTTCTCACTGTCAGAAAGTTTCTCCTTATTTCCAGGTTGAATCTCTCCTTGTTCAGTCTCCATCCATTATTCCTTGTCTGGTCTTTGGGTGCTTTGGATAATAGCTTGACCCCTTCCTCTCTGTGGCAGCCCCTCAAATATTGAAACACTGCTATCATGTCTCCCCTGGTCCTTCTCTTTACTAGACTAGCCATGCCCAGTTCCTATAACCGTTCTTCGTATGTTTTAGTCTCCAGTCCCCTAATCATCCTGGTTGCTCTTCTCTACACTCTTTCTAGAGTCTCATCATCTTTTTTTGTAATGTGGTGAACAAAACTGGATGCAGTACTCTAGGTTCTCTGAACTACTCAAAATTTCTTCTAGTGATTCTCCAGAACTTGTCAGAACTGGCTAAATACCACCCCTACTGCTAATTCATTCTTATTCCCTATATACTAGGGAAGAAATGAGGGAGAGTTTTCTTGACTGTAAGAACGTGGAACTAAAACTCCCGATTCTTTTTATATGGTTGATTTTGCAGTATCTCTTGAAGGGAGCGTCAAGAATTTTTACACTCGTCTACCGTTCCGCAAAATATCAGAAATCTCTGTGAGAAACAAGATGGATATGTCTAGGAAAACGGTGTCAAAGGGGTAGGTTTTCTTCCTGTTGTGTTGTGTGTATGGCCCCTTCCTCCTTTTCTCAACAACTTAAAAAGGCTACAACCTTTGGTGAAGAGATCTAACTTTAAGATGAACTCCCAGAATTTCCCAGCCACATTTTTTTACTACAGCTGGATGAATCAGGAATCAAACTGAAGACATTTCATAAAAATACATTTTAAAAAATTAAATGAAAGGACCAAAAGACTTTGGGAAAGTTGCACAATGTCTTAACGATAAGTACCGAAAATAGCATTAGCCATAAAAGTTTTGGGAGATGATTCAAAGGCAAATGCCTGTTGAGTAAATATTGTGAAATGTGTCCTCCATCACTGTGATTAGCAATCTTTCTTTCTTTTTCCCCCCCTTTTTTTTGGTCTTGGGATTCTGCCTGAGAAAATCTTAATGAGACTTTCAGATTGTTGTCTGGGACTTTGTAGAATTAAAGCTAGGTTGCCTATTCCAGTTCTGTCTGTCTGTCTATCTTCCCACCTATTACCTATCTACCTATATTGTCCAAGGAGATGTTCTTACTTTGAGCCATATCTTGGACAGATATTATTATTATTGGCTTATGGCATTGCTACATTAGCCAGGAGATCCCCATGCTATTGTGGAGAGGTAGTTTGGCTGCCAAGGTACCAGCTCTGTTGTTGGAAATGCTTGCACGCTTCCCAAGGTATGCCACAGTTGAGTGAGCCAGCTCCAGAAAGAAAGACGAGCCGCTTTTCCAGCAGTGTCATCCAAGTCCCTCTCCCTCCCCAGAGCCACCTTGCAAACGGGCACCGCAGTCAGGAAGGTTCAGAGCCGGCAGGAATCTGACTGCCTTCACAGAGCATCCGCTCGTCTCTCCACCGAAGTGCACCTATTTATCTACTCACATAGAATATGCTGTTGAATGAGTGGTGCAGTGGCCTAGAGGTGGAGCTCTCGCCTCACAATCTGGAGGCTGTGAGTTCGATCCTAGGTAGTGGTAGATAATTCTCTCTCTGGGCACAATGAGTAAATATCAGCTGTGAACTCTGCGTTGGTAACAGGAAGGGCATCTGGCCAGTAAACACTCAGCTCCATTCAGTTGCTCTGACTCCATCCCACTGCAAGAGATTACGGGGTTGTTAAAAGACAAAAGTAAAGAACAGAATATGCTTTTGAATGGTTAGGTGACAGGAACTCGTCCCACCATGCAGTGCTAGGACTCGAACCGCTGGAGCAGAGACCATCTCCAGCATCATTAAGCCACTGAGCCACCACACCTCTTACCTTGTTATAACAATGTATAAAAGAAGCAAGAACACCTTTCAAACAAGTTAATAAAACCCCTCTGTGACTTTCTGGGTCCCAGTTGTTCATTTAAATTTTGCTGCAGAGGTCTGCTCTCTCTCCTATATCTTAAGAAAATCATTAACTTCTGTTTCACAGATTGTTTTTCTTTTTAAATCCCAGTGGCTTTAATATAAATGGATATTCTTGTTATTTGCTTCTGGTTTGGAATGTAAGTTTCACTCAGACTGCTGAGTTCCAAAACTGATTTATCTCTCTTAATGAAGTGTAGAAGCTTTCTGTTGATTCCTCAGGAATTAAGATGCCAAACGTGTTCATTTTCCTTTGTTTTTCACATTCTGTCTTTCTTTTCTTTTCTTTTTTTCCATTCAGTTTTTTTGACTGTGAACGGCTTTGCGATGCTGATCCTTGCTGCTCGGGTTTTGGACTTCTAAATGCTTCCCAAGACATAGGTATTTTTTTTTTAGTCATTCATTATAAGCCCTGTAGATTTTTTTTTTTAATCTTTTCCCTTAGGTAATCTGGAACCTATTTCATTGTGGTTTGCAGTGTTTAACAAACTCCTGTGTGCTTGTTTGAGCCATGTACCCGGTAATGTTTCTGGATAAGGGAGGAAGTGGGGAAAGTGGATTTATTTTTCTAAGAACCTGCAGCCAAAAATCAGGCACTCCAGAAGCTTCAACGGAAAGGGCTTGTTCTATAGCCAACAACTTACATCCTACTTTGCTGCTTCTGTTGCTGGTTAATTTATGTTCTTTAGAAAAGGCGAGTAGAAGACAAAGGAGCAGGCTATTTCTTTCTGGTCAGCACTGCACTTTGGACATGAACAGAGAACAAATATATAACATGTAATCCTTGACTTACAACCATTCATTTATTGGCCATTCAAAGTAGGGGTGGGATGCAAATATTTTTACTAGCGGTTCTGTGGGCATGGCAAGGCGGGAGTGGCTAGGTGGACATGGTCACGTGACTGGGTGGGTGTGGCTTCTTTTTTTTTTTTTTTTTTTTTTGTGCAGCACCTTCCCCCCCCCGTTCTGTTTTTTGGCCTCCTGGGCCTCACGGAAGCCTCCTGGGCAAAGCAGTAAGACAGTGAGGGGGATCCTGGCATTGTTGGAACAGCTGATCATCGTTAGGAGGAGAGAAAAAGAAATACCGGTTCGGTTGAACCGGTAGCTATTTTTTTTACTACCAGTTCGTCCGAACCGGGCCAAACCGGTAGAATCCCACCATTGATTCAAAGTTACCCTAATCCTAACTTGTACTCTCACCACAAGCCCCACCTCCTTAATATTTACAAATAACTGAGTTGCTGAGATTCTTTTGGAATTCCAGGTTTCCCGGTATGATGCATTATTCACATTGTCCAGCTAAATACAGGTAGTTCTCAATTTACAACAGTTCATTTAGTGACCATTCAAAGTTACCATGGCACTGAAAAAACAGTAATTTATGACCATTTTTCATACTTATGACCACTGTAGCTGTGGGAAGCTACCTCTCTCCTAGAAGAATGAAATATTTTGAGGACTATTCAAAAGGCAGAATATTATATTTCCCTGGATGAGAAATGAGAAACATGTTTTTTTAAAGGGAGAAAGCAGCCCCCACCTTTTCTTAACAGCCCACAGCAGATGTCAGATAAAGATATAGATAGCTCTATTCATAAGCAAATACCCTCACTCAAGTTCCAAACCAGGACAAAACCATTAAGCCATAATAGGAATTTTCCAACACCTTTTGAGAACACAAGCCTCTTTATTATATCATCTCAGAAAATCCAAACTTCAGCCAAACTTAGCTCAGACAACCTATAGAGGCAGCTACATGGCCCATGGGAGTCTGACAACAACCAATAGAATATATGTTCTTGCACAGGAACAGGAAGCTCAAGTTCAAAGCCCAAGAGAAAGTATAAAAGCCACCCACTCTCAACTCCATGTGGTCAGCTGCCCAGAACCCATGTTGTTCTGCTTCTCCATAAAACCATCTTTCCAATCAGCCTCCATGTTTCCGGTGTCTTTCTCCTGGCTTGGAACTGAACCAGATGGATATTTCTTCCAACAGAGCTTCCCCATGGTCACATGATCAAAATTTGGCAACTGGCTCATATTTAGGATGGTTGCAAAGTCCTGGGATCATATAATTCCCCTTTTGTGATCTTTTGACAAGCGAAGTCAATAGGAAAGCCAGATTCATTTAACAACCATGTTACTAACTTAACAATTGCACTGATTCACTTAACAACTGTGGCAAGGTTGTAAAATGGGGCAAAACTCACTTTTAACTACTTGATCTCGCTTAGTAGCAGAAATGTTGGACTCAATTTTGGTCATAGGTCAAGGATTACCTGTATGCATTTGTGAAACTGGCCATAAGGAAGTCAGATGTAGGTAGGATTGACAAAGAGTCATTGATTCATGGATTATGTGCCATCAAGTCATTTTCAAGTCCAGGAGAACGGATCGTATTATCATATATGGTGGACTTGAAGGAAAGCCCAGGATTTTGGACATAAAATTCAGAGTTGGTTAGAAGAAACGGGTGAGATTAAACTTGAATATAGATTGGAATTCTTCCTGCTGGGAATTAATACAGAGAGATACAATAAGGAACTAATGTATCTAATAACACACGTGATCACGGCAGCAAGATTAGTCTATGCTCAAAAGTGGAAATTTAATGAAACTGAGATAATTAAAAAGATATGGACATGCGTCGAAATGGATAAACTAACGTTGGAATTAAAAAATAAGGACGAGGCTGAATACTATAAAGTATGGGATAAATTTTACCAATGGTTGGTTTGCCTCTGTATGGTTTGCCAATTACACAGTGGCAGATAGGAAAGCACTCCAGAGGGTTAATATCATTGCCCAGAAGATCTTTGGTTGCCCTCTCCCCTCTTTGGAAGAGCTTTATAGCTCCCGCTGCCTTAAGAAAGTTTAAAACATTCTCAAAGGTCCATCTCATCCTGGGAACCCCTTTTTTGAACTATTATCATCTGGCAGACGGTACAGAATAATAAAAACAAGGACAAATAGGCTGAAAAAACAGCTTCTATCCCAGGGCAGTAGCTCTGCTGAATTCTACTGTATAGTGCAGTGTTGGTGTGGTGTCGGGGGTTTTCGGTTCAATGTGTGGAGTGTGAAGGATGTGTGTTTGTGTTTATTTTCATGGTCATGATGTGCACTAAAGATGGTGTTTGATTTTGTTGTACAAGGTGCATTAACAATAAAGTTAAACTAAACTAAACTAAACTAAACTAAAAAAGGAAGACTTAAAATTAAAATAAGATAAGGATGTTAAGATAGTAGATTAAGAATATGGAAAATTGTTGTAATGTATAAATTTATATATAATGTAAATTTGTATTATATGCTAACCATAATAGATAGGTACGACAAATAGGTGTGTCAGGATGATTACACCACATTCATTGTTTTTAATGTTTTTGTTTAATAAAAAATTATTTTAAAAAATTATTTTTAAAAAAGTCATTTTCAAGTCCCATCAACCGCATACAGATAGTCCTCTACTTATGGCCGGCCTGCAGTTATGATGGACCACTCCCCAAAGATACTTATGACCCCGTTCTGAACTTCCAATGGCTGCTTTTCCATAGTCACATAACTGTCCATCAGGCTCTTCTCAACCAGCCTGTATTTATGGCCATTTTGTAGCATCGTGCAGTTATATGATTCGGTTTTACGACAGTTTTGCTAAAACATGTTGGTTGTTCCAAATGCTTTGCCATTTTTTTGTGACAGCCAGGTCACACAGCTAATTTTATGACAGGCAAGCCATCCTATCAACTCGAATGTTTTTATTTCTTCAGTGTGGATGGATTATTTAAAAATGCCAAGTGCCAACAGAAATTTATAGAAAAACGATGACAACCTACCACGGTGTTCTCATTTCAGACAGCAAGATCTTGTGTTTGACTCTGGGCAGTTTGGGAATTCAAACCTGCAGTGACGAATTAAGAAGTGATTGGCAAATTTCTCCTTGTACGTCTCTGGAAACTGAGGCCAGGGTGCATCCCTTCGGCTGGTATCAGAAATCCTGTGAGTACCAAATCTTTCCTTGATTGGTTTCCATCCATGGTTTCTTGTCCTGTCCTCTGCTGCTTTGAAAAATAAGTTGACCCCCTCCTCTTTGTGGCAACCCCTGAAATACTGGAATATTTCCCCCAACAATCCAATTCTTGATTTTACCAGCCTCAGAAGGATGGAAGGATGGGTCAAGTTTGAGCCCATCAGGATCAAACTCCAGGCTTTGGGCAGAGTTAGCCTGCAATACTTCATTCTAACCACTGCATCCCCCAGGGCTTTATTTATTCTTGCTACCTTCCTTTGTCATTGTTTGTTTTATTGCTCTATTATTTTACTTCTGTTCTGTTTACACTCCTGTCATTTTACTTCCTTTTTATTGTTGTAAGCTACCTAGAATAGCCCCAGGGTAATGTAAAGGGCAAATGAATTTAACAAAAAATAATACTATACTATACTATACTATACTATACTATACTATACTATACTA